TTATGGGACACCCGTTAGCTTCGATAGTTGGGTATTTTTTATGTGTTGGATAATCTTCATTTAATTTTTTTTCTTACCTTTCTACAGAAATAAATTTGATTATGATTTTGTAGAGAATTTCAAGGCGCATCTTTTTGAAAAACAATCAACTTTAAAGATCAAAAAGAAAAAAAGTTATAGTCAAAATACGGATGGAATCAGAACTTATCAAACACCCTTTATGCTTCCACCCCCTTCTTCTGTTTTTACTCTAACTTTCAATTATAAATTTTTCTTTTAATTACTATTTTCTTTTAATTAATTTTCGTCTTTTTGCTTATAATTGTAAATGCATAGCCCTGAGGAGTGTTTCAATATGTTAATAAATAACACGAAACGCGTCGGCAAAATCAACTCTGCACTTATTTTAAAGAAAAATTTGAATTCAAGCATATTTATTAAATAGTTTATATTTGATAGAGAGAATATCGGTTGCTGGAAAGCAAGAGTTGAAAGTTGCAGATTGATTTGTATTTGAAAGATATAAGTCTGTCTGTTTGATATTGATTTAAGTACACACCCCACCCAAATACTGTTTCTGCCGCAACCAGTAGATACATCAAAAAATGAATTTTGTTTCGTTTATTGGATTACAAATATCTAATGATTAAAATTTACGGATACAATATTCTAAGTACACACTACTCGTATAGATAAGCAAATACATTGTTTATATAAAATGTCAATAGGATATAAATAAAAAAGTAATAAATCTAGTCGAAAATAATGGAACAAAACTCACTTAAAATATAAGAGAAAAAAAACTTGTGTATGTTATAGAAAAATTTCAGGAAGTTAAATATAATTTATGGTGGAATATGATTCTTGTTAGTAACGTCCCCACTACCATTTCTTATTTTTATTATGTTGCCTCATTGTTTGCATCTGCATTCGAATCTTCTTGTGCGTTGGGATCTTCAGCATCTGTTGGCTGATCGGTTTCATCAGTCGTTTCGGTCATTTCATCAGGGTCAATGATTTCAACAATTATGTCGAGCGTGTCATCATCTGGTCCGATCGTGTCATAATCTAGTTCAGAAAATTCTTCGCCTTTAAACGCACATTCTTCTTCAGTCTGAAGAAATAGAAAAAAATAAGATATAAAAGATGAATACAACAGAATTTAATGAAGAAACTATTCTTACCAAGTCCGGCTTATTGTTTGTTAACTGACTAAAAAAAGATGAAATATATATTTATTAAGGAGTTCAATGAAAGTATTTATGAGATTATTGGACACGATAGACTTACACAGTCATTGTTTGATCACCTTTCTTTTCAGTGAATACTCGCAATAAAAATTTAGCAGTTCGATCATTTCTGATCGTACATGGAATAATAACATAAGTTCCTATCGGTAAGCGAAGTCGTCTAGTTATAACGCTTAGATTAGTAAATGGAAGGCTGGTTGTCACATATTTCAATTGATTTGCATATAATTTTAATTGTGCGTTTTGAATATTGTTATTAAAACTAGCTTCATCTATCACCTACCAAAACATAAATAAGTTAAAAATGAGAGCACTCTCGAAATCAGAAATGAATTTTATTGATTAGAAAGTGACATAGAGAGTTCAAACGGATTCGTTTTTTACTTTTAGTAAAAAAATGCGCTCGCGAACGTTGTACTAATTACAATGTTAGTGCATCCAGAAAAATGTGTCGCAAGACCGTCGAGAATATTTCTTATGAAACGATGAACGGTTTCATTCAAAAAATGTGCATAGCAAGCCTTGTCAAAGAACAGATGTGGCGACTGTTTTTCAAAAGATCTTTATCACAATAAATATTCCTATATTAGATGAAAAAAAATCACTTACAAAATTCATTGAAAGATTAACGTAAGATTTTAATCTTTTTCTCACAGTTCAAATAAAAATACCAAATATGTTTTCAATCGATGTCAAGAATCGTATCTGGAAAAGTACCGTGTTGATGAAGAAAGCTCGTCTTTGAAAGTGTAGGCAACGTGAACAATGTTTTATCCAGTCATAGAGGTGGGAGGGGATGATATGGGACATTCCCTCGTGCTCATATTCGGAGACCAAGTTTGTCTCTCCGAGAAAAATCAAATCAATATAATATTCCTAAAAATATTTCGATGTAATTTTTTGAAGTAATCCCAATAAACAGGGTGCTAGAATTGAGTGACCTAATTCTGTTGCGAGCAATTTTTATCTCGTAATAATTAATCTTTGTTCCATAAGAGAAGCGAAACTACGAGGAGAGATGATTTTTTTCAATTTTCCTAATATTCTTAAATATACCACTGGAAGTATTCTTAGTTCATAATTATTCTCTTTCTACATCAAACGACATGTCTTTCAAAGTAGAACAAGATTTTATGAACAAAACCATTCTTAGTTATGACTAAAGCATAAACCATACAGTGTACCTCGCCAAAGTACTTCTATTAGTACTTCTCTGGGCATATTTCACATTTGAATCTTGTCCATAAAATTTTATTCTACTTCAGAAGTCATTCTGTTTCACTTAGAAGTGAAAGGACAAGGAACTAAAAATCAGACCAGTGGCATAACTGGAAATACCATGAAAAGTGAAAAATAAAACAACCTTGCTCGTATTCTCGCATCTCTTGCTATCAAAGATTGTGTATTTTATAATCGACCACATTCATATTGACACAGAAATGTTCATTCGATTAATCAGTTCTGTACAATAAATACTAGTCGAGTTACAGATGTATTACCGTGAGTCGATATTTTTCGTGGTAGAATTAGGTAATTCGATTGTACCCATTATCTGACTCTTCTTCGTCCTCAATTTCAATCAGATTCAACTACATATTTTGTATATCGTTGTCTTTTGAATACGTCAATATAATAGACTCAACAACTTTCTTAATAGTTCATCTCTCAAGAATTTTTTTGTCTGCTCTTCTGATAAATGAATTTGTTAACTTGTAATGAATAAACCTAGATAAAACGCTGAACATGAAACATTTCTAGCAAATTGGATTTAGTGAGTAATAGATGATGTCAAATGACACGTCGACAGTTGATCATACTTAAAAGAGCTTTTTCATAATGTAAAAAAACAGTTCTTCTCAGTGTTCAAACAAAAAATCTTTAGTAAAATTTTAAAATAAATAAAGAGAGAGCTCTAGAAATATTTTTTAAAATAAAATTAGTCTCAACTGAAAATCGAACTCAGAATAATAACTTTCAAAATTAAGATTTCAATAGCTTTCAAGCATCAAAGTCAGTTTTCATTATTATTTTTCTCATTGAATATTCCAATAACACTTTTTCTTCCGAGAACGTTTCAAATTTATTTCCATTGGGTTTTTTTGAGAGATGAAAAAAGTCAAAGGATATCCTCAATTGAAATACTGAATGAAATTCATCTTCGATAAGATAGTCTTACTATATTCTATTAGAAAATATATATCGAAGATTGATCTCTATAACTTTCTTCATTTGTGATTTAGCTCCCTATAAAATAATATGTCACAAAATTTTATAATAATTCCTTGCTCATATTTCAAATTTAACATTAAATCTAATTATTGCAGTATACTTTTTAAACCAAAATTTGAAGTTCTATTAATAATGTTTTTACAATAAAAAAATGAGAGTATTTTAAAAAAAGCAAATTATTCTCTTATTTTAATATCGATGATTATATTAAAGTTTTCATTGTTCCATAATGAATTAGTACTTTTTTATGTCTACTCACTCGATAAACACGAAAACCCGAACTGAACATTTTTCCTTTAATCTGCATGTCCATTCTTGAATCACACTTAACCATCAATGAAATAATCATTGTGCACAATTTATTTTTCTGATTTCCATCTCCTTCAGATGTCACTTCATCACCTTCAGTCAGTTTGATAACGAATTGTGGATCTTTACAATAATGCTAGACTAATAGAATAAAAAAAGTAAAAACGTTTATCTTACTTGACCAAAATTTTTCTATAAAAAATAAAATTAATAGAATTTCATATTATTGTTTGCTTTTTATATTCTTTCTTACAAGTACCTTTGTCTTCTTTTTGTGAGTTATCTCCTGCTGTCTTTTCGAAAGACCATTCGCTAAAAAATTTTTCTTCCATCCATATACGCTGGAAGTTGAAAGTATAGTGGAAAAGTTAATTAGAGTAACAAATTAACCATGAAAAACTTACCTCAGATTGATCAACTGGTTTCGAAGAATCTTCTTGCTTTGCTATAGCTTCGAATGATGATGGACCACAATGACAAATATCAACTTCATGAAAGTTAGAAAAAAATTCGTCGAATGACATCCAGAATTCGCCATCATCAAGCTTTTTATATTTTAACTTCTCTTTTACTTCGTCACTAACGGTATCCCATACTGTTGAGCTATACATAGACGATCAAAAATATGGTACTATTAATTGAGAGAAACGACGCATCGTTTTTCACTCACTTATCAGACCAGTTACCATTCCATTCGCCACCACTTCCCCAAGGATTACGAACTTTAACAAGTGAGACCTTTTGATCGTTATTTGTTGTTATATCCTGAACGTCAATAACAATATATGCGTGTCCTTAATTTTACACAAACAGATATCATCAACTAGAATAAACGAAGAAATCAATCTATACCTGCAATCAAACCACTGCTAAGCGATTCTTCTGGTTTTAACGGATCTGCATTGATAGAACAACCAAGCATAGAGTTTTTGGCATATGCTTGATACATTATTCGCTTGATTGTTTCTTTATAATTAGGTTGCTTATCGTTTTTCGCATCAAGTTTGGATAGTTTAAAGGTTTCATCAAGCCCTGCTGTCATATCAATGAGAGCTTCATTCATATGACCTCCATCCAATGTTTGATAAGAGCCATGAACTCTTTAAAAAAATTGATGAAAATACATTACAAGAACTAAATTTATTCTCTTGAAATCTACTTTGCATAAGCTTTCTCAAGTAATGGAGCCCACATTTCATTTTTGTCTTTCACATTTCGACAATAAATAAATCCACCGTCTTGAGTACATGGTAATTGATCATCAATGACAACATCGAGCCATTCACCATAGAGCCAAAATCGGAAATGAAAAATACCTAACAATGAATTACAAATAATGTAGAGAAAAATAAGTATTGGCCATCCAATGATGTTGCTTTACCGGCATAAGTACTTTCGTCGAATGATTGATCTTGAGGAATTACTCGCTCAAGAAAAGGTTTATTTAATGTAATGGCACCTATATAATAATAATATAAAAAATTCATATGTGAAAAAATACTATATTGACTTGTTGCTAAAAACAAATGGAACTATCAGTGTTAATAACTTAGAGACTTAAAGAAAACAACAATCGTATAATGTTCCTCAGTGAAAAGAAAGTTTTATTCATTTAATAAATCAATCATTATAATAAGATATTTAACATTGTCAAAGTAAATAAATTAGATACGTGTGATAAGAAAAGATGATCTTTTGACTGTAGTATTGTTATATCGATATCAGAATAATTTTTAAATAAAAAAAAACTTTGTGCCTTTATCAATTTATTGCATTGAACTCAGTATAAGTGGATAAACAAACATTTGTCTTTAAACATGGCTTCGTATCTTGCAGCATATATATATATACATATTGAAATTTATCGCTTTTATAGCAATAGTTTCATTAAATTACAGAATATCCTAAGAATTATTATTACCTTAAAAATTAGTATTTACATCTATTAGTAATCAAGTTTATTCTCATAGTTTTTTTTTCTTATTCAGAGGAGAGAGATCAGTAAGATGTCTTTTCATAAAAAGAAAAGCTTGTAAATACTTTTGATTTTTAATAAAAAATTTATTAAAACTTAATCAACTAAGAAGAAATCTAAAAGACTTCGTCATGATACATTATCACAATTCACAATGTCGTCCATAGAGATATATCATGAGCATTCAAATATGTTGACACTTTCAGCAACATTAATCTTTCCTTTTAGAAATATTCAATATTGTAGAGCATCATTTTTTTGAGATTTCTTTCTAATATATGATCGTCTTAGAACATTTGAAAGCTCATAAGATCTGCCTATGGACAAAGGTACTGTGAAAAGTTCAGTGATACAATTGGTTAGTATGTGTTCTCACTGGAGGTTACAAATCCAACCAAATGATCATAATTTGTTAAAAACAACATATTTGAACGAATCTTTTAAGACTTCTTGTAGTTTCATGAAGCTTTACAAATAGATTTATATCCAACTCAAAATCGAGCGCTAAATTTTAGAATCTTCTCTCGTAAGATTAGTCTATCAATGTCCATGGATAGTAGCATATGACTTTGAAACCTTCCCAAACAAAAAAATATTTTGACTATTATGTTATTAAACACATCAACAAAATAATTAAAAAACTCCACTAGTTCGATCTTTTTTAATGTATATAGTTGTATACTGATAAAAAAAGACTCAAATATATGAACTAGAATATTGTTTTCAATGTAAATAGATGAGTTAGCTGAAACACAACATAAACATCTATTATTAATATGACTGAGTTTTACAGACAATAAATCAAAAAAAGTCTCTCAAATGTAAACACTCAATGTCAACTTTTTTGTCTTCTCAGCTTAGATTGCTTCTCTTTCTCAGATCTAAATTTTTAATTACTATTCTAGTGAGTCAACTATGAAGATTTTCTGTTTTGCCTGCATCCAATCTTTTTTTTATATAGCAACTACCTATCTGACTTAATAAAAATATCGATAAATATGAAAAGAATAATACTGATATGTTTCATGATATCTATAATAAGTCAATTTGATCTAAATACTCACTAATCACGTACATTTAAATGCTCACATCAAAATGAATAACCAGTTTCTCGACATAAATGAACTTTGGAAAAAATTGTAAATACGCTGCATAACAAGAAGTGCTCTTTTGTGTATGAGAAACTTACCACAACCAGCAATGAACCAACAGTTTCCAACTTCTCCTTGATTTAAATCTTCTTTTTCATAAGAATTAACAACAAATTGAGCATTTGGATTAATATCCTAGAGTTTTACAAATGCATCAAACAATGATAATAGAATCTGCTTCAATGACAAATCATGTTATTTACCTTTGGTCTTTTCCATACAATAGTTTCAGCTTTTCCCTCCTTGTGCTCGGCGAGTGATTTAATTGTAGTTGGAAACTCTGGATCGACAAATAAATTTGATGAATCGTATTTACTCTTCAATGTTTCATAAACCTGATCCTTGAACGCTTTGAACTCCGGCATATTTTTGAATGACAAAAACAAAATCTACAAATATTACAAAAGAATTTTGTTCTATAATTATTATTGAAAAAAAAAGAGCTAAAGAATCTACAGTTTCATATCTACATACCTTTACTTGCTGACGAATGGAGAGACAAAGTTATTGTCGTTGTTATTTTGTGCTTAGATTGAATCCGAAATCTGGCGTTTATATACTTGAAATATTTGTTTTATTGTGTGCGCTCAACCACATCGAGAAAAATGAAAAATAATTTTAACATACGTCTTTTGTTTTTTATTCATCGTATATTTCTCTTTTCTTTTGCTTAACTTGTTCTCTCGTTGATGATCGGTAAAAATAAATACAATCCATCCGTCTCACTTCATAGTGAAAATCTGTATGAAACCCAATCTATAACCAAACTAACGATAGACATATTACATTTCTGTTTTATACCGATATAAGCCATAAGATTTTTAGCAAGTCATTATCATTGATAATCCATATGATACATGGTCATTTTTGTTCTCTTAGTTAATTTTCTCTTTGTTTCGTTTCGTCTCTCTTTTATCGTTTACCTATACCTACATACTCAATAATAAGAAAAAAAATAACAATGTACGGTAAATAATGATTATGATATTATGAAAACAAACCTCGTTTTTATTTTGATCATAATTTATACTTATCAGTCATTGTATATTTTCAATCGTTCGTGTTGACATTTTTTTATATGTTTGCACTCGAAAATGAAAACTTTTTATAAAATCTAATTGTAACAATAATACCAGAGTTGTTCGAATACAACAATACAACGAAGTGAATGTATTAGTATCCTTTGAATTTCTAAGTGTCGAAACCCTATTGATAAATAATGTTTTATACTTCTTATTTATTGTTATGTTATGTTTTAGAATTAGATTTCATTAGGAATCATTTTCTTGTAGTATTCTTTTGACAATATTATATGGTATCGTCTTTTGAATAATAGTAGTCACAACTTTTCGAAGTTTGAAACTATCATAAATGTAACTCTTTGGTGCGAAGTATTAATATTATTTTCTTTAATTCCGAACAAAATAATAACCTATTGATATTTTTTTAAGAATAAAATAAAACTAATCAATTTTAATTAACAATAATATTCTTATAATGATTATTTGAATAAAATTCAGCTGTAAGATTTGGACAATTGAAGGATTCTTCTTTGATATGATATACAAATGAATAATTTTTCATTTTTCTGCTTATCGTATCATAGCCAGTGCGTAAAACAGAACAAATAATCCTGTTGAATTTTCTGCTTCAACATCTAGTCATATTACACTCAGATGATCCACATAAAAACGAAAGGGATATTATTAAGCGGTCAGTGAAATAAATGAAATGGTCAGTAAAATATATGAAATGATCAGTAAGATAAATGGTTAGTAAAAAATGTATAAATGATCAGTAAAAAGATTAAATGGTCAGTACTTAGATTATCACTCATATAAAAAAAAAAGATTGGAAAAAATCTGATTTTAATCGATTTTTTTGTGATTAAAAATCGATTAAAATGGGACAGTTTTAACCAGGTTTTTAATCAAACTAGTGATTAAAATAAATTAAATTTATAAATATCCATTTTAACCGATTAAAATTTTTTCATTGACTATTTTACTCAATTTTAGTCAGATTATTCGATTTTTAATCTATTAAAATCGATTAAAATTTTTAAATCGATTTTAATCAATTCTAATAGTTTTTCTTTTTAAATGAATAAGTACCAATTGATACCGAGTCTTGAAGCATGGAATTTATGTCAAAGGTCGATCTAGCATCATATCTACTAATTTTCCGAGGCAAGGAGTCCGAAAAAGCGATCGAACATCTGAGTTTTCAACATAAAGTTTGAGAAAACGCATTTTACCGTCGCCGCCATTAAAATTAATATTTATAAATTTAATTTATTTTAATCACTGGTTTGATTTATAAAATCGATTAAAATTAGATTTTTTCCAATCTTTTTTTTATATGAGTGATAGTCTAAGTACTGACCATTCAATCTTTTTACTGATCATTTATATACTTTTTACTGACCATTTATCTTACTGACCATTTCATCTATTTTACTGATCATTTAATTTATTTTACTGACCGCTTAAATAGTAGCCAAAACGAAAATGAAAACAAATTGTTCCGAAGATAAAATTCAATCAATTCTTTACATGTTAAAACAAAATGTCTTTCTTTTATTTAAAAAACTAGTCAAATGATCTTGGACTTGATCGTAACCGAACAGAAAAAGTAAATATAAGAATGCAGATAAAACATGCCATATAATCATTCATGTCTTTTATATTTGAATACAATTCATTTCACATTTTTTTCTGTATTCTCTCGTTTATCCGTTGTAAAGCTGAATAGTGATCATTCCTCCCACGAACAAAAATCTTCATCACAATCTATATCACATATGATCGTTTTGCTGTTTAAAATTACTTTTTTTTTCTTCTTAGTTAATTTTCTCTTTGTTTCGTTTCGTCTCTCTTTTATCCTTTACCTACATACGCAACACTGCGAAAAAATAACAATGTACGGTAAATAATGATTATGATATTATGAAAACAAACCTCGTTTTTATTTTGATCATAATTTATACTTATCAGTAATTGTATATTTTCAATCGTTCGTGTTGACATTTTTTTTAATATGTTTGCACTTGAAAATGAAAACTTTTTATAAAATCTAATTGTAACAATAATACCAGAGTTGTTCGAATACAACAATAAAATGAAGCTAATGCATTAGTGTCCATTCAATTATCGTCGAAATATATTATTTCTGATTATCTTTACTATGTTTATAATTAGTTTATTATATTGCTTATTCACTGTTATGTTATGTTTTAAAATTGAATTTTGTTAGAAATTACTTTTGTGTATATTTTTTTTGAGAATATTATATATTGTTCTCTTCTACATAATAGTAGTCACGATTTTTCGAAGTTTGAAACTGATAAATATGACCCTTTGATACAAATTATTAAAATTATTTCCTTTAATTCAGAACAATATATCAATCTTTGCATATTTGTTTTTTTTTTATGTTACATTGAAATCTTCTTCTTCAACGTTGTATAGAAATAAATAGATTTCTCTATTCAAGCATGGTTTTCTTCTTTTTCGTTCGTTTACTATATTATAGCAAGTCAGTGAAAACTAAGAATTCTATCTCACTATACTTCATGTAATCGTCAACAGTGAAAGTAGTTATACGATTAATTCTTAATAAATGAATTTGAAGTGAATAATGAATCATACGTTTACATTATTAGTTTTATTTACAGAGTTTTTCTGCTCTGCATGAAGAGTATGAATTACATATTACTAAAAATGTTACAGAACAAAATAATGAATCATCATAAAGATAAAATACGAGAGCAGAATGAATGAGTTCTACCGGAAAACAAAACATTTTGACAAAATTTTGAATAACTCGAATTTTCAGTGACATTCAGAGTTAAGATTTTTTTTTGTTCAGGATAGAGCAAACATTTGTCTATCGATTTATGTATAATTGACTGAAAAATGTTCATCCATTACTGCACAATAAATATCACTATAGCAGAGGGATTCTTTTTGTTCGATTCAACTGTGTCGTTTTTTTTGCTAGTTCTGCTGTTTATACGAAAAATTTAACTATATTTTCGTAAAAATTGAATTTTCTTATAAAAATGAAATTTATTTAAAATAAAAGATATATGATTCGATTCATGTTTTGATGATATATCAGTTGGTAGGTTTGTTTTCAAATATAAACGGTGGTCACAAAGTTTCGACCCCTCCTTAGTAAAACAAGAATATCTATATCAAATTCATATGAACGTATAGATCAAATAATGCCATTTTGTAGAGAAAGAGAAGAGCTATCATCTGAAAAAAAAGACCGTTTGAAATACATATATTTATTATAAAGTTATGATCATTTTACTAATTTCGAGTGAAAAGTTTCTATGTTGCGTTTTTTGCAAAATACAAAAATATTCTTACAATATTTGAATAATCAAACTCGATTGAGATATGAATTTTTACATATCTTTAGTAGCTATTTTTATATGATTAGATAGAGTTCGACAAGCTCTACCAAAATATGGATATCCAAAAGAATGTTGATCCTCTTTTGAATACAAAATCTGATAGCAATCAGACCGACTAATAAAAATCTGGCAAATCATGTATTGTAGAGTATACGTAACTTACAATAAGTTTGGTAGATCGACTGTTCTGTCTATTATTTTATGTTTTGAGATACTTTGTCACGTTCCGTAGATGAAAATACCCTTTCCGAGCTTCAGAAACAGACTAACTAATCGATTGACTGAAGGTATTGGAAATTAAGCATACTTTCTTTAATACACAATATATAAGATTTTTACTAGTCTTTCTACTTGTCTCCAAGTTTTGTATCAGAAACAGGATCAGAAAAAATGTTGATATTCGTATTATTGTAGAGCTTGATGAACTCTGTTCAACCATATATAAAAAAATCCAGAAAACTATTCCGGCTTAGGTGTTACAAGAATATTTTTGTTTTTTGCAAAAAACACAAAATATATAATTTTTTCACTCGAAATTAGTAAAATGATCATAACTTTATAATAAATATATGCATTTCAAACTGTCTTTTTTCCAGATGATAGCTCTTCTCTTTCTCTACAAAATGACATTATTTGAACAATGCTTTCATATGAATTTGATATAGATATTCTTGATTTACTAAGGAGGGATCAAAACTTTGTGACCACCCCTTATTTTATGCAGATTTTTGTTTTTCTGACTCTGAATATGACATTCGTTTCTTTCGGAGCTGAAGTTCTGATTGTGAAACACTTAGAATACGAATCTGATTTCTATGACTTTTTTTTGCCACATAGCATACATAGTTTCTTTTCCTAACTATATGATGAGTAAAATTTAAAAAAAACTCGGATAAATATTGAAACTTGATGTATCTCGATATTTATAGACTTTTCTGATTTTTTTTTCAAACCTAATTTGACTAAGTTTCACTTCTATACGTGTAACTACAAGCTCTCTTCAATCATGATAAAAAAACACCAAAAGAAAAAAGTTATGCTCAAATTTCGAACTGTCAATACCTTAAAAAAGTTACAAAGCAAGTAAGAAAAAAATATCATTTAAATATGTATCACTATAGGTAATCCAATCATGCCAAGCAAAAAAAAATTTGCTCAAAGTTTGATCTGTCGGCAATTTAAGACAATTATTCGTAACAATTTTATTACCTATTCTTTAATCAGATATTGAGTTATATAATAAGATGAGAGTATTTTACAAAAATTTTTCAACGATATAAAAATAAAAATCAGTAAAAAAACTGATTAAATTAATAAGATTTGAAATAATTGAGTCGAAAAGATGATTGTATATAATAAACGAATATGAAAAATTATTATTTCAATATCGTGAGAATTTTCTAAGTGATTGAGATTGACATTGAAGAAATGAAAAAAAAATGTCTTCAATAATTTTATTTCTGTCAGTTTGATTTAATAATCGTACTCTCTCTGGTTGTTGTTGTCCTTGTACTTTAACTAAAGCTTTTATTTTTGGTTTACAATATCTTGATTCTTGAAGTTTGTCAATGCTCATTCCACATTTATAACATTTAGCAAGTCGACATGATGAACATGTATGACGATTATTTATATTTATTTCACATTGACCATTGAAGTTACATACGAATGCTCTCTAAATCGATTAATATGAGAATTAAATAAGAAATAGAGATCAATTTGACCTTTTCAGTATTGGTATTTCGTTTAAAGAGCATTTTGCATGGAGTACATGAAATAACACCAAAATGAGTATATTCAGCAGGAGCACCACATATTCGACATTCATTTTGAAGTATTTTGATTTTTTTAGTTTTAATCGACATAGTTGAATTATTCGACGTCAACCTTCTAAATAAAACTCACCGTACATTAAACTTAACTTATCAAGATAACAATTAAGAAGGAGTGCAAAAAAAACATGTCGGGGTACATATATAAAGTTATTTGGTTCGATTCATGGCACATTTTT